GTCTGCATTGGAGTCAAAACATCCTGTGCAGTGTACAGGATATATATATATATATATATATATATATATATATATATATATATATATATAATATATATATATACCACGTATTGTGATTTCTAGCTCGTAGTGAAAAAAAATATTTATTTGAATATCTCGCAAAAAGTAAAATGAACTGAACTTTGAACTAGTTCAGAATTAAAATTGAGAACTTCGAACGTGAACTGTTCACTTTGAGCATGTATGAACTGAACTTGAACTTGTTCAGAAAAGCTGTGAACTGGCACAACACTGGCCAAAGCTTTACTGTCATTGGGCCAGAGCAAAATTAAACAAATGTGACGTCACACGTCGGCTACACAGCCAGGCCAGCCTAGCAGTGCACCCAGTGTAGCTTCCCCGGTTGAAATCAGTGGTCTCTCCAACTGATGGTTCATACACGTTTTTATTTTTCCTTTTATATGAGCTGTAACGATGTGATTTTACCTTACTACTTTTTTAACAATAATTGATTAGCTTGTTATAGTTATACACTAATGAACACTTAGTTCATTGTGTGTGTGTGTGTGTGTGTGTGTCTTTATTCTCACTAAACTCCATAAACGTTACGTTGCTAAGCAACGTACAACAATCTTTAAACGTCCGAGATTATATAAACAGTCAATATAAAAAGAACTAAAGAAAACAAAAGTTTTGACAGTCAATCTTAAAACTATTAAAAGAACATCAAAATACAATGACAAAAACCCAAATTTAGAACCTTGTTTGGCCTGAATGGATGAAAAGCTCCCGGCCTGAAATGTTGTCCCACTCCGGCCCTGCTTTGAAGCAACTTTTGTTAAAGTTAAACTCATCATTCTATCAATGTGCAGAAGCCTGTACTTTTCCCTTGTTGTGTCTATCTGAAGGCCAAGCTACATGGCACCGTGGCAGCTGCTGATTGGAGGTCTCCATGCCTCCGCTCTGTATAATACACTTGCATTCTGTTGTATCTGTTGTTCGTGCTGTCTCTACCATTGACAATAAAACATGTCTTCTGTCTGAATTTAAGACGCGATCCCAGACTATGTCATCTTCTTCATCATCATTAAACTGTCTAAAGGCAATTGTATGCGAGTGGGCAATTGTTTTCTAATGGGGTCCTCATTCGGATATTGTGTATATCCCAATGAGGACCCCCGGTATACCGGTTTTGGGAAGCTTTCAATTTTATTTGGATCAACATATTTGAGTGCTAGCTACTTCAGTAAAAAAGTTATTAAAAAAATGAGTGTACTTGATAAACAAAAATACTTACAGAAGAGAAGGAGAAGGAAACTGCTGTGTCTTAGTTGATCATTTGTCTTTAAAGCTGGACTAAAGCCAAAGAAGGCTAAATTATTGTTGTTTTTGATGTATTATTAAGAGGTACAGCTCATGAAGTTTCCCATTAAGTCCCATGAAGTCCTATTAGTCCAGTTCTCAGTTCTCTGCACTGGCTCCGGTGGCTCAGAGAAAAGACTTTAAACTACCTACACTTGTTACCAGTCTCTCCATGGCCTTGCACCAAAGTACATCTGTGACATGTTAGTGCCCTATGAACCAACTCGGACTCTGAGGAGCACAGGGACTGGCCTCCTGCTGGTCCCAGAGTCAGAACTAAACATGGAGGGGCTGCATTTCAGATTCATGCAGCTAAAATCCTCCTCAGTCCTCCCGAAAATGTGAGACAAGCTTCTTCTCTGACACTCTCTGAATGTTTAAATCCAGGTTAAAAACAGTTATTTTTAGCTGAGCATCCAACTGAGGGATTTGAGCTGTACTCTTTTATTAATTAGGATTTTAATGCCTGTGTGACTGCCTCTATACAAATAAACTTGCCTTGCCTTGCCATGAAGTTGCAAACCTTCATTCAGTATTGATTCCCATTCATTTAAATAGGAAGAGATAGTTTACAGTTTGAGGATGAGAAAGGATCAGAGGGCCACCGTGCCGCGCTCGATTGTAGCACTGTTGCTGACCATATCTCGCAAAATCATCAAGATCGTATAAGTTCGACTCTTTGATTCTAAAACACGACAGATCAATGCGTGGTGGGAGGAGCCGCGATGACAGCAGAAGCAGAAAAGCCGACGCAGCGTTCGCACACGGCCCTCAGCTGTTTGATTCATTCGCGGCGCTTCGACCCACTTTCCAGCCCCCACTGTCACTGATCATCCAGGCAGCTCCGCGGACACATGTGCAGACTGGGCACTTTCTCCAACCCCAGCACGAGACGGGAGCGCGAAATTAGCTTCAAGACCAATCGGCACAAGCAGCGTTTTAGCATACAAAGAAATGCCTCATTATTTTGAATTGGCCATCAGTCACTCAAAGCTACTGTTTCGCAATTATGCTGTGAGAAAGGCCTTTTTCACACGCACGATACAGCGTAGTAGGAGAGATTCATGCCATTCGTTAGCATTCTACAACATGTTTGGACATTTATCAACATTCATGGACATTGGTCTCTCCTTATGGACCAATTCATATGTATTTTCTGTGTCTTAACTGTTGATTCTCTGATCTGTGTTGGCGATTTCAATGGTTTTGTTCAGTCCTTTGAGATGACTGCTGTTGTGATTTAGGGAAATACAAGAACAAACTGTATTGTAAATTGTAAATTGCGTTAGTATTTTTGTTTTACAAGTTTTAAAGTGATGTTTTCACGATTCTGGGCGAAACAGGTGACAACGAGCGTCTTTCTTCATGGTTGGCAAGTGTGAAATTGCTTAGAAATATGGGCAACTGTGAAGTGCCAAAACAAAACTTGGCAAATCAATCGTTTTGGATAATTATGCTTGGATGTGGGATGCGACACACAAAATTGGGACAGTCCAGGGTAAACAGGGACATGCAGTTACCTTTGTTTTACCTTCATTTTTGCAGCCAACTGAACAGGTATCAACATTTCTGACAAGTTTCTCATGATTTGAAAATGTCCTGTCCAACATTGAACTTGTAACTTTTTCTAAAACTGCTCAACACACACCCAATGTTTGCAGTGTTTCCGTGCAATTGCCAGTATTTAGGCGAGTTTATTTGTAAAGCACAGGTCACACAAGGCAACTCAAATCCTAAATAATCACAGTACATTAAAAAGAGAAAAGAGAAAATCTCTCAGTTTTACAACTAAACATAACTCTCTGGATTTAATATTAGTTTATTAGTAGCGTCTATCTCCATAGATCTGAGGGACTGGACTGAGACTGGACAAATCCCGACGTATGATTGATCCATATTGAACACATTTTCTCATTATTTTTCCACTGCCCAATCCCTTTATCTTGCTGCTGCATCTGAATGGCCATTTGTTGGTGTCGAACCATCTCTAATTCGATAACGGCCTCCTTTTCATTCTGAGAAGTACATTTTGAAAAAGCACACAAGCCTCAGCATATGGAGCGACCAAAGCCAACCTAAAAGCGTAGCAGGTCATTTGTGGCTAATGGACAAAGAGTTAGCGCTAATGTTGGGCTGATTATCAGAAAAGACACGGTCCATTTGAAAACCAAAGGAAATGGAGGTAATTGGAGGATTAAGGAATACGATCAGTCAGCGCAATATCACTTAGAACTGATCCTTCAAAAGTGTGTCCATTTGAGCGTATCTCGCCATTGATAGATTTCTGCTTTGGCATCTAATTGGTTGAAATACAAACATTAGCCAATTCTTCAAATGGATTTAAAAAACAAAAAAAACATTGGACATTATAATTGCTCTGTGTTCTATGGTCGTTTCAGATATTTTTAAATAATAAAACTTTCTCTAATTACCATCTGGTTTGATTTTTATCAGATTTGTTCCTACTTTTGACAACCCTATACTTGAATGTTCCATGTTGACGTGTAGTATCTATCTCCATAGATTTGAGAGACTGGACAAGTCACAACGTACAAATGATCAATAGCAAAAGAATGATGTATCTCTGGTCTCTCTTGTCTCTTTTTGGCCTCTCTGGTCTCTCTCTGGTCTCTCTGGTCTCTCTCAGGCCTCTCTGGTCTCTCTCTGGTCTCTCTGGTCTCTCTGGTCTCTCTCTGGTCTCTCTCTAGTCTCTCTCTGGTCTCTCTGGTCTCTCTCAGGTCTATCTCAGGTCTCTCTCTGGTCTCTCTCTGGTCTCTCTGGTCTCTCTGGTCTCTCTCAGGTCTCTCTCTGGTCTCTCTTTGGTCTCTCTGGTCTCTCTGGTCTCTCTCTGGTCTCTCTCTGGTCTCTCTCTGGTCTCTCTGGTCTCTCTCAGGTCTCTCTCTGGTCTCTCTCTGGTCTCTCTGGTCTCTCTCAGGTCTCTCTCTGATCTCTCTCTGGTCTCTCTGGTCTCTCTCAGGTCTCTCTCTGGTCTCTCTGGTCTCTCTCTGGTCTCTCTGCTAAATCACCTTTATCTTGCTACTACATCTGAATTGTTTTTATGGTTGTTTGATGTATTATTTTTTAATATATCCGTTTAATTTACTTTAGGACTTACATTAATACTATGATATATACATATTTGGGGCTGTATATATTTCACTATGATTCCAATCTTTAAGTGACTTTGTACTTGTCTGGAAGTGTTGGATTTAGTCTTCTAGAGTGTGGCATGAGCGACCCATGGAGAATATTTCAAATGTGGTATTTTCATGGAACAATCCAGGATTAATTACACCTTCAGGCGTAAATGTATCTATACAACGTTCAATAATTCTATTTTTATCTTTGTAAATACAATTGAAGTATAATTATGTACAATACATGGATTTGTTTTTCCAAATAATACTTAAAATAGACGCTTGACCTATGAATTTCTATTGAAAGGGAGGTTGAGACCATAAACAAACATGAGATACGCCATTATACGTTTAGGTGGGTAAAAGAAAAGAAAAAAATGCACAAACACGACATATAGAAACATAACATTTGGGAAAAACGTTGTAATGTTTCCTCACTTTTACTACATTGTTTGATCGACAGTTCCATAACAGACTCTTTTTATTATCTGTCCTGTTTAGGTCCGAGCCACAGACGCTGACACTGGTGTGAACGCAGAGATCGACTACTCTATCCACCAGGCCTCCGAAGCAGTGCAACGGCTTCTCCGGATAGACCGTTCCACCGGCGTCATCTTCGTCAAAGGCCTCGTCGACCGCGAGGAGGAGAACTTCCTGAAATTCTTTGTTGTCGCTCGCGATCGTGGCCCCAACTCCAAAAGCTCCAAGGTCTTAGTCACCATCATCATCAAAGACCAGAACGATAACTCACCTTCCATCGAAATCCGCGGAATTGGACTCGTTACTCACCACAACGGGATCGCCAACATCTCTGAAGACATGCCCATCGGGACGCCAGTTGCGTTGGTGCAAGTTTCCGATCGCGACGAGGGAGAAAACGCTGTGGTGACTTGCGTGGTTGCTGGTGACGTGCCCTTTCAGCTACGGCCAGCGAGTGAATCAGCAAACGATCGCAAACGGAAATACTTTCTCCAAACCACCACGCTTTTGGATTACGAACGGGTCAAGGAATACTATATTGAAATCGTGGCGGTTGATTCTGGAAATCCAGCCCTCTCCAGCAGCAATTCTTTGAAAGTAAAAGTCTCCGATATTAATGACAATGCACCTATATTTTCGCCTGCGATTCTTGAGGTGGACTTTGCTGAAGAAAACCAACCGGGTGATTCAGTTTTGGCAGTTACCGCGGCTGACGCAGATGATGGCTTGAACGCAGAACTTGTTTACAGTATTGTGGAAGGCACAGCGAGACGGCTTTTTGAAATCGACTCCACCACCGGGGAGATAAGAGTTAAGAATATTCTGGACAGGGAAGAAACAGAAAGATATGAATTCCGTGTTTCCGCCGCTGACAAAGGGGTGCCTAGCAAAACCGGTACAGCAACTATTGTCTTAAACGTCTTGGATGTTAATGATAACGACCCCAAGTTCATGCTAAGCAGCTATAGCTTCTCAGTCATTGAAAACATGGCTCCGTTGAACCCAGTAGGCGTTGTGACCGTCTCCGATGCGGACAAAGGCGAGAATGCACGAGTCAAGCTTTTTGTCGAACCTGACAACGGTAAATTCTTCATCCAAAACGGCACCGGAACTATTTTGTCAAGTATTTCGTTTGACCGCGAAAAGGAAAGCACATACACTTTTCGCCTAAAAGCTGTCGATTCAGGAGACCGACCTCGCTTCTCCTATGCTGGGGTAACCATCAATGTTTTGGATGAAAATGACAATGCCCCTTATGTTACCAAACCGTCCAATTCATCGTACGCTTACTTAACACCACTAATTCCACTCGACACGGCAATTGAAGTGGTTGAAGCTGAAGACATAGATTCTGGACCTAATGCAGATTTGCTTTTCACAATTACTGGAGGGAACCCTTACGGACTATTCCACATATCGCCGACAAACGGGGAAATCACACTGGTGCAGGAGTTCACTGGGAAACACATCGGGCTGCATCGCCTGGTTGTGAAAGTTAGCGATAAAGGCAAACCCCAACGCCACACCACGGCATTAGTCCACGTTTATGTGAATGACACCAAATCTAACGTTTCTCAAATCGAAGCTCTCGTTGGATTTAGCTTGTCCACGTCTCTTGATCAAGACATTGCGGGAGATCCAAACTACATCATCACTCAACGCAGTAACATTTTGTACGGAAGTTTGTCCGGGATCGCCGGCGTTATCATGGTGATAGTTGTCGTTGTGGTCTTGCGCCACCGCTTGCAAAAAGACACAAAGAGTGGCTACCAAGCAGGCAAAAAGGAAAGCAAAGACTTGTACGCACCAAAGCAGGGACCAAAAAACGGGAAAGCTAAAAAGGCCAAAAAGGGGAAAGCACCAAAACCGGTAAAACCTCGAGAGGAAGACGAGGAGGCTAGCTTGCAAAAGGGCCTGAACTTCAACCTTATAAACGACAATGTCACCGATAGCCCTCGCATCCATTTGCCGTTGAACTACCCACCCGGAAGCCCCGATTTGGGACGCCATTACCGCTCGAATTCCCCTCTACCTTCCATCCAACTGCAGCCGCAATCGCCGTCAGCGTCCAAAAAGCATCAAGCCGTCCAGGATCTTCCCGCAACCAACACATTTGTGGGGGATAACAACTCCACCGGCTCGGATCAATACTCGGATTATAGCTACAAGGCGCCGAAGTACAGCAACAAACAGGTAGGCGATTACGCTAACACGCCTATGTACAACAACCACAACATCTACTGGACCAACCGCGTGTGGTAGCCATTTTCGGGAACCATTTCCATCCACTGCACTGACTTTCACCAATCTCCTTGACCCCTTTATTTTATGTTTTCCCCTTTACAAAAGCCGCCATCTTGTTTTTGCTTCATCATTGTTTTCATTTTTGTTGTTTGTATGTGCTTGGACACTACCACTTTCACCGTGAAGGATATACAAAAAAAAGGGATAGACCAAAAATGGGTCGCCAAAAATTATTTATCAATGAATTATTTTTGAAGGATTGTGAATATTTTTTTTGTTTTTGCTGTAAATGTTTATTGGATAAAAAATGGACTTGAATTGGTTCCATATTGGTCTATCCTTGAGCTGTATGTGATTTTCATTATTTTAAATGTGTACATGTGGCACTGGTTTTGTTCATTTGAAACGCTATTTTTTTTGCTATTTGCTTCCTGTGTTTTTTCTCTTTGCTATTTCTCGTTTGACATAGACTGTGAACCTTTGTACCTGTTGCTTTTTGAGACAGACTCGGACCAATTTGAAGTGTTCACAAGCCATTTCTTACTGATTCTAGTCGGGTCAGGAAATTGAACAGCAGGCCACTAGCAAAGAAGGATTATACAAAACATGAAGCCAGACCCGTGTCTTCCCACCCAAAGCTTTATTTATGAGAACTGCTGAAAAGAAAAATCCTCTTAGCTTTTCGTACATTATCTTTCTCCTCATTTTTTTTCTCTAAAACTTACAAAATGTTCCTTTTTTCTCTAAAACTTACAAAATGCTCCTTGAGAAATTTGAATTACTCTAAGTACGTGGATTGTGATGATTTTAAAGCTTAACATTTCAGCTCTTACATATAAAAAAATCTAGAAGTTTCACACTATGCACTATGAGCTTTGAGACAATTTAGGCATTCTATGGGCAATACCACAATTGCTGGTATTTTTACAAGTTCATTTGAAGACATTTGAATACTGAGTGGTGTCTGAAAAGAGTTTTTTAAGGTATTTGAAGGAAAACCAACTTCTAACTCGGATGGATCAGTGTTTTTTGAGTTAAATGACAATGAAGAAACCAACTTAATGCGTATTGACAAAATGTATACCAAAATTCACCAATTCATATACATCAATCCCACCCCTTGATTCTTGGCTATGAACAAGTTGGATATCGGGCATTGAGACGAATCACAATAGAGCTTTGAACTTTGAAAAACATTTTGCACAGAATCGTCGGACCACTTTCTCTTTTTGCCTTAAACCGTGCGTGCCTTGGAACTACTTTATCTATATAAAATGAGAAAAATAAAATAAAAAAGTTGTTTGAGAATCTTAGAACCATTTTGAGCAGACAATCAAGTTTAAGGTCGGATGTAAATATTCATTAATTATGAATGAGGGGTGTTTTTTTTTTGTGTGTGTTATTTTCAATATTCATTTTTAATATTATTTTGTGGTGTGAATGTGTTTGTGAATTTACCATTTGGTGAGAAGTTAAGTAGCACATAATGATCTCAGTTTCATGTTATGATTAATAATAATGTGGAAGGTTTGAGATGGAGACAATTGATATGAAATTACTCTTAATTCTTTCAGAAAATTTACACAACCGATTTAACGAAGCATAATGCAATCTGTTAAACAATATTTTACTAAACTATAATTAAAGTGGATTTAAAACAAACTTAAGGATATTACATTGGAGTGATTAGAATAAACAACATTATTCATTCATCCAATCAAAATCAAATAACTGAACCATACACGGCAAAAGTGATGAAAAATAAGTTTTAAAAAAATCTCTAAATTGGTAAAAATGTGTCTTAATTTGAGCATTTTTTGACTTCCTTAAAAATAATTTGCCAATGTGACTAAGCTAAATTATCATGTTTTAAAAAGATACAAGAAATTTCACTTTTGTAATGAGAAAATGCAGCAACAACAGTTGAAATAATATGAAATATTATAAAAATAATATGAGCTTTGTCCCATTGGCTAATTTTGTTTAAACAGTCAGAATGTGCTTAAATTAAGACAAAAAACACTAGATCCAAGCATTTATTACCTCATATTGTGTAATTTTTTGCAGTGTACAGTCCTCATCTCAAACCTCTGTCACTCATTATTATTCCATTGAAAAGCACCAGGTTCCTCACGCCTCCTCTTAACCAAAGACGACTGCAATATTCCCGGATTAACTCACATTTTCACATCTGAAATCTGACCTTTTGTGTGAAACGTCCTTGTACAGTGTTCATATTTGTTTTATTACAGAATTTATTTCAATAAAAAGTGTTGCTAAAATACAAAACCACATTTATTGGTGTGCATTCACTGGGTGGGAGTAGGTTCATTTCTCCTTCGTGAATCTTATTGTCGCCGGTGTGAAGGACAAGTGCTCGATCTCGGCGTTTGGACCAACGTCTCTTTTGTGAGGGAAAAATGTGTGAAATGCAAACGGTTGAACTCCAGCCCTTGGTTTTGTTTGATTTGTTTATTTATCGTTGTGTTGCTGTTAGATGGTCATGGCATTTTAAAAACTGTCTTTTCAGATAACAGCACAAACTTTTCGACCACTAAAATGAATGTAATCTCGTCAGACTAGGCCCTCGTTCTCTCGTGCTGGGTAAAAAAAATATTATGTTGACATTGTGTTGGTAAGTCTATTCACACTGGAAAAAAATCTCTTGAAAAAAAAAAAAAAATTATGGAAATTGGCAAAAATATCTTGAAAAAATTAGCATAGAGCTTTTATTTTATCTAAATAACAATAAAAAATATAATACTTAAAATAATCTCATACAAGCTACATTCAAGCTAAACAAAAGCGTTTTATAAAACAACCCACACAGTAGTTTGTGCAAGTGAGACAAAATAAAGCAATCATCATGCAGCCAACTTCAGCTCCATCTAGGCCCTCGCTCTGGGTAAAAAGAACAACAAAAATGTATATTGAAATTGTGTTGTCAAGTTTATTCACACTGGAAAAAATTTCTTGAAAAAAGAACATAGAAAAACATGGAAATTAGTAAAAATATCTTAAAATATAGAATAACAAACTTAATTTATCAAGAAAAAGAATACTTAGAACAAGCTTAAAAAGTCACTGCTCAGACTTTTTTCTCTAATAAGATTATGAAGTATCTTAAAACTAGTAAAATAACCTTATGACAAATATTCAAGCAAAACAAAAACTTAAAAAAACAAGCGTCATTTATGTTTTTTTGATAAATAAGTCTTGCCAACTTTTTTCAGTGCAATTCATATTTACAGACAATTTCTAAAGACATGTTGTTTTAAAGCGCAGAATTGACAGAAATAACTTCTTATAATACAACCCACACATTCGTTTTTGCAAGTGAGACAAAAAAAGCAATTATCATGCAGCCAACTTCAGCTCCATCAAGTATATCATGTGATGTCATAGCCGATGGTGAGGCCTGAAGGCAGCGGAGTCGCTCATTTAGCAAATACATAGAAAACATTTTTGATAGTTACTTATTTTGTCGTTTTCAAATGTAGAAATTTGACTTAAAACTAATCATTTTTAGTAAATAAAGTGATATTTTGTAATTAATCTTAGAAAGCCATGATATAAGAATGTGTTTTAATGGCCATACCTGCATGTGAAAGCCAGCTCCTGCCAGACTTCTGAAGCTAAGCAGGACAATGCCTGGTTAGTACTGTGATGGGAGACCTCTGTGATCTCCAGGTGCCACATTGAGACGACCATGGCTGTGTAGTACTGAACTGTGGTTGTGTCCTTAGGCAAGACACTTCACCCACACTGGCTAGAATATTCAGTGTGCCCCAGGGCAGCTGCGGCTACAGTAGTAGTTTATCACCACTGTGTATGAAGTGAAATGATAATGATGTTTGTTCCAGTTTAAAACCGATGCATAATTTACCTTTAACATAAAAGTTGGTAATATTTCAATAAATCCAAACCGGTCCTTCCCGATTGTTGATGCACTTTAGATAAAAACAACATATATGGAGTTACTAAATATTATTTCTGGTTTTTAGTGTGCCATGAAACATATTCACATTCAGCCAGTTTGTGTTTAAGGAGCTTTAAGTTTTACAGTGACAACACTTTTAAACATATTTCTAAATGAATGAAACACAAATAATCTTGGAGTTTTATTACGCACACAGTCTCTTAAGGACAAACTTAGCCCCATGGTGGTTTGGCGTTGCTGGTGCTAATCTCCTGCAGGTGTTCTCGCCGACGGACTGATCCGGTGTTTTTGCCGGTAATAGCAGCCATTAGCGGCGCGGCTAACGTCCTTTTCCTGCGCTCCAAATTACAGTCATTTCACAACGCTACAGCTAAAAACAGAATCTGTCACCGAGAGCTGTCCGCGGTGATGAAGACGAGAGGAGAGGACCAGGAAGCACCAGCACCAGGCCCCATGGTCATACAACACCAGTCCCCATAGTCACACAACACCAGGCAACATGGTCACACAACACCAGGCAACATGGTCACACAACACCAGGCCCCATGGTCATACAACACCAGGCCCTATGGTCACACAACACCGCAACACCAGGCCCCATAGTCACACAACACCAGGCCCCATGGTCATACAACACCAGGCCCCATGGTCACACAACACCGCAACACCAGGCCCCATGGTCACACAACACCATCCTTTGACATAACAAAAGGATGTTTTGTTATTTACATAAAACAACGTAGTGATAATTTTGTAGATAATAAAAACAGATACAATTCTTGATTTACCTACAAAAAAACTCCAAAGACTGAAGTAATAGTTCATATTTTTGGGGATTCTTTTTAGAAATACTACATATTTAGATGTAGACAATGTAGAAGAAAAAAGTCTTATAGAATATCTTACTTTTAATCTTATTTGAGCCAAATAACTAATCAAGGGGCGACAGTGGCTCAGTTGGTAGAGTCCACCATAAGACCTACTTCAAGACTCCCACTGATGACTGCTGCCGTTGTGTCCTTGGGCAAGACACTTAACCCCACTTTGCCTGAAGCCCCTGCTGAATAATCAAGGCTCCTGTGGACTCATCACCTGCAGGAGGATCAGTGTACTGGGTGTAGCTCTGACTGCCACCCCCCCGACCCAGAAATGGATTAAGGGGAAGAAAAAGGATGAATGGATGAAATAATCAATGTAGCAAAATCAACTGTTGAATCAAATTTTGTCATACCTTTTCAAAGTAAATAAACAACATGGATTATTTCAAACTTGCACAATGCATTTCTCATACATTTACAAAAAAATAAATATTAATAATAAGTTGAAAAAGCGGTGTGATTCCAATCCCTCCAGTCTCCATCTTAATTAATGAAAAGCGTGGCCTACTCTTACCCAAACAAAGTGACAGGCCACATTCCTGGCCGTGCCGAACTGTGACAGCTAAATGAGCGCAGTTTACCGTCAAACACACGTCCTTTGTTTTGTCCCAGGACGAGAACAGGTCCTGACAGGTCCCAGTCCGGTCCCTGTCAGGTCCGATTCAAAAAGGTTTGTTTTGTTTAAATGTTTGCGAGATGGTTCTAGCAGCTCTGCTGCCAAAACACGTTAACACGGTAATGACTTGTGACTTTGAATCTGGTCCCAGTCAAGTCCTAGTCTGGTTCCAGTCTAGTCCCAGTTAAGTACTAATCTGGTCCCAGTCAAGTCCTAGTCTGGTTCCAGTCTGGTCCCAGTCAAGTCCTAGTCTGGTCCCAGTCAGGTCCCAGTCAAGTCTCAGTCTGGTCCCAGTCAGATCCCAGTCAAGTCTCAGTCTGGTCCCAGTCAAGTTCTAGTCTGGTCCCAGTCAAGTCCTGGTCTGGTCCCAGCCAGATCCCAGTCAAGTCTCAGTCTGGTCCCAGTCAAGTCCTAGTCTGGTTCCAGTCTGGTCCCAGTCAGGTCCCAATAAGGTCCCAGTCAAGTCCTAGTCTGGTTCCAGTCCGGTCCCAGTCAAGTCTCAGTCAGGTCCCAGTCAGGTCCCAGTCAGGTCCCAATCAGGTCCCAGTCTGGTCCCAGTCAAGTCCTAGTCTGGTTCCAGTCTGGTTCCAGTCAGGTCCCAATAAGGTCCCAGTCAAGTCCTAGTCTGGTTCCAGTCCGGTCCCAGTCAAGTCTCAGTCAGGTCTCAGTCAGGTCCCAGTCAGGTCTCAGTCAGGTCCCAGTCCTGGCCTGTTACACATCCCCAAGTGCAGACGGAACAGAGACGCTGTTGTTCGTTTAAAACCTCGTCCAAAAATGGTGCGTCCGTCAACAGAGTGTAATCCGGAGCGAGGGGCGACCTACAGGTGTGTGGGCGGGGCTTAGGACCAGGTGAGGAACTGACAGGACGTGTTTGTGTGTGCGCGTATATGTGTGTGTGTGTGTGTGTGTGTGTGTGTGTGTGTGTGGTGAAAGGAGTGTGTGTTTGTATTGGACACCTGTGAGTCATTACATGTTGACACAAATCAAATCCTTACACAATGAAACAGTGTCATGAATGAAATGCATTTTAAACTCTGAGACAGCGACCTCAATGAACAATAATACATGTTTTAATCAATGAGATCATTAAAAGTAAAGTAAAATGTTGTGACCTTATCAGACCACAGCATGTCGTCTTCATCTTCTCAGAAAACATGTTATTTTTTCCATAGAAAGGAGCCTTTTGAGTGTCATGGATGGCTGTGGGAGAGTGAGTATTCAGAATATAACATTTTGCTCTTGAGTCAGATGCTGTTCATAATCAAGTAATGCTTATTATGAATCTTACTTATAACTTAGTGTCACATTCTTTCTATTCTGTTTCTGTTCTTTCTTCTGAGGATCAGAACGCACAGAGCAGTAGTTTCATTTCCCTGTGTGTAAACGGCGTAGAGGATGAAACCGGCTTGAGCCACAGACGCCACCGGCCGGCGCTCCTCAGTCCAAACTGACACGGCTCTCAGTCAAAATGCATTTCTCTCTTTCGAGTCTTGCGTCTGACACAGAGAGATGAGGACACACACATACAGTACATCTGACTGCGTTAACGGCTTTAGTAACGTGCGAAACTGACAGCACTAATAATATCGGCCCATTCACGCTTTTACTTTTAAATTACGCTATAGTTGTCGTTCCTGTTTGTCGGTGGGGGAAAGCCTTTGTACTAGAGAACCCACATTTGCTACAGTGGTTCAGAGCAGCCAATCAGAATGGATCAGAGAGCAGGTTGTGGAGTTTGGGGGGTCTGTATGGGGGGTCTGTTGGGGGGTCTGTATGGCTGAGTGGCAGAGTGGATAGCACTCTCGCCTCTCAGCAAGAAGGTCCTGGGTTCAAATCCCGGTCGGACCAGGGCCTTTCTGAGTGGAGTTTGCATGTTCTCCCCGTGTCTGCGTAGGTTTCCTCCGGGTGCTCCGGTTTCCCCTACCACTAAAAATATGTACAATAGGTCTGGCATGTGCCTCCTGTACTGGCCCCTCCCATTCCCAAAAAATAACAATTGTAAACCGCTTTGAGACTCCGATGTGCAGTGAAAAGGCGGTATATAAATAAGGATTACTACTACTACTACAGTATGGAATGAAAGAACAGGTTTAATGCACTAAACATAAAGCCTACACATATAGACCTGAGCTGCACATGTATATGGTCTCTATGGTCGAGCCTTGTTGAAGACGCCCAGAGCACTCCTTTTAACCAACACTGGGTCCAATCACAAGTCCCAAAGTGCCAGTATGCGTGCGTCTGCGGTGCGTTCGTCACTTTGTCTGCCCAGGGAACTCAGGGAAATTGGGCCCTGTGCATCATGGGAAGCAGAGAGTAAAATGAACTGCGAGCCAGAGTGGAGACACATGTCCACACGTCAGGTGCATGTGGGGAGGGAGATCACGGCATCGCACCCTGCAGGACCTCTGTGGACTCTGTCTCAGCAGCACACACACAGAAAGGCCACTTGGAGAGAGGTGTTGGAGGTTAAACTAATCCTTGGGTCCATTAATTTCAACGTGAATCAAGAGAAACACGGACGGAATGAGTCAAAGTAGAACAATGTACAATTTTCATGTCAAGTCATCATTAAAGGGCCCTAATCTGTCCAAAGGCATTAATTAAAAATGATCTTTCTGATGTCCCGCTCCCAACGTTTCACCAATCAGAAAGTCTGTGATCCGGGCGCCAGAACTCACCGTGTCGAGCTAATCTCACTGTAAAGTACCATGTGGCGCAGAACTAAAAAAGGGTTTGTAATGATTCTCAAATCATTAACGACAAAACAAGGAATAACCAGGATTTCTATCTTTGTGAAAAAGGTGTTGGTTATAGATTTGTTGTTGACAAAACTCTTGTCTATTCAGCTGTTATGGTCCTAGCTGGATTCGTCTGCATATCTGGCAACCTGAGTCAGGGCGAGGCTGCAATACCATTTTTGACCAGATTTTTCACATACTGCTCCTTTAATTCAACAATTTTCCCAGCCCTTATGTCATTCCAAACTGATTCTTTATGGTTGAACGTTAGGAACCACTGTTTTACATCTAGTTCAGACCTGTGTGTTTTTTCTGTGTGCGATCCAAAGGAAACTGGGCGGCTCCTTTCACTGAGTTAGACGTGGGTGATAAGAGGGACTCGTTCTTGACCGTGGGATGTGAGAAAATGCCTAATGGGGCGATACAGTGAGGGCCGAGGTCGAAATCTCTCAGATCCACACACGAAGGGCTCTTTTGCAGAAAAAGGTGTGACCCCCTGTAGTGCGCGGCTGGCCCGGGACACGAACCCGCGACAGGTGGCCTTGTGCCCGGTCTCCCCCTGGGTCAGGAGCTGCAGGGCGCGGTCAGGGGGCCGTGGTTGTAGCCGGGGGTGAGAGGTGCTCGTGCTCAGGGACAGATGCATGCTCTGTCTCCACTACAGCACACCTGCAACAATGTTCAACCGAGACAATTAGCATTTTTTCACTTTACAGACACACACTTCACTTACAAACACACACTAACAGACATAGACACACACAAACTAACAGACATAGACACACACAGTAACAGGCACACACACACACACACACACACGAACAGGCACATACACACACACACGAACAGGCATATACACACACGAACAGGCACATACACACAAACGAACAGGCATACACACACACTAACAGGCACACACACACACACACGAACAGGCATACACACACACAACAACACAACACACACACAACACACACACTAACAGGCATACACACACACTAACAGGCACACACACACACACTAACAGGCACACACACACACACTAACAGGCACACACACACACTAACAGGCATACACACACACTAACAGGCACACACACACACACACACACACACTAACAGGCACACACACACACACTAACAGGCACACACACACACACTAACAGGAACACACACACACACAACAGCACACACACACACAACGGAACACTAACAGGCACACACACACACAACACTACACACACACAACAGGCAACACACACACAACAGGCACACACACACACACACACACACGAACAGGCACACACACACACACTAATAGGCACACACACACACACTAACAGGCACACACACACACACTAACAGGCATACACACACACTAACAGGCATACACACACACGAACAGGTACACACACACAAACAGGCACACACACACACACTAACAGGCATACACACACACTAACAGGAACACACACACACACTAACAGGCATACACACACGAACAGGCATACACACACACACTAACAGGCACACACACACTAACAGGCATACACACACGAACAGGCATACACACACACACTAACAGGCACACACACACTAACAGGCATACATAAAGGTTGATACAGTCCATTAATGTGGTTGAATGTGGGGTGTCCTGGAGCATCGCCGCTGTTCTTGGACCTTCTCTGAATCCAAAAGTAAAAATTTCAACCAAAAGAAACAGTGAATCCAGTCTGTTTGTTAAAATCTAAACTGGTCTTTGTGTGATTTTCTCCTTCAAACAAAAGCTCTCATTGTTTTTCCGCATTCTCTCAGCCTCTCTCCTCTCCGTCTGCAACAAACAGATCACCAGTTGGAGTGTGAAATCTCCTTCGCCAAAAGTACAGTCAGTGCACGAGCGACAAGCGGCTGCTAATGGCAACAGCCACGCTCTTCAGCTGATGGCTCACTTAAAGCTCAGGAACCTCATTTTAAAACCACACTCAAAACATCTACGTAGCTGCCGTATTTTCCGGACTATAAGCCGCACCTGAGTATAAGCCGCAGCATACGATTTTTAGAAAGAATTTGGATTGGCGACAGTAGCTCAGTTGGTAGAGCGTTGGCCTTTGAGGTCATGGGTTCGAGCCCACCTCAAGACTTTCACCATCGACTCCCACTGACTACTGTTGTTGTGTCCTTGGGCAAGACACTTAACCTCTGGGAACAGCAGCCACAGTGGGGCGGCTGCAGCTGTAAAATGCCAAACTGCCGTTGTGTCCTTAGGCAAGACACTTTACCCCCATTGCCTACAATGAGTCTGGTGTGTGAGTGAATGGTTGGTGGTGGTGGGAGGGGCCGATGGCACAGACTGGTTGCCTCGCTTCTGTCAGTGTGCCCCAGGGCAGCTGTGGCTACAGTAGCAGTTTATCACCACCGTGTCTTTGAGCGTCCAGAAAAGCGCTGTATAAAACTGATAGATAGATAGGTCCCCGTAGGAGAAATTCAGGTGTCCAATAGCGAAAAAATAAAATTGATAATTCTAAAAAGCTTACATTAGTAATAATCAGCAAAGGCCCTTCAGGTCACAGCAGCAGAGGTGGAGTAGCCTCTTGGTGGAGCAGGACGGGTCACAGCAGCAGAGGTGGAGTAGCCTCTGGGTGGAGCAGGACGGGTCACAGCGGAGGGGAGCAGCTGGGGGAGCAGGACGGGTCACAGCAGCAGAGGTTGAGTAGCCTCTTGGTGGAGCAGGACGGGTCACAGCAGCAGAGGTGGAGTAGCCTCTGGGTGAAGCAGGACAGGTCACAGCAGCAGAGGTGGAGTAGCCTCTGGGTGAAGCAGGACGGGTCACAGCAGCAGAGGTGGAGTAGCCTCTGGGTGGAGCAGGACAGGTCACAGCAGCAGAGGTGGAGTAGCCTCTGGGTGGAGCAGGACGGGTCACAAGGTGGAGTTGCCGCTTGGTTGGGACCATTTTCTCTGCTCTGGTCCAAAGAGATGCATTATTATTATTATTTTGTAGTTGTACGAGCCGCACTGGATTACAAGGAAACGTTGTGCACAATAGAACAGGATAAAAGGAGGATCTATTATTTAGGATATGTGTATATTGTGGAGGGCCAGATTCGTTTTTCATGTGGTTGCATTTACTTTGAGCTTATTCAGTTAAGAATCCGAATCCTTGTATTGCCGTGTGAGAAACAAGAAGTCACAAACTAGGAAACTGCTTTGGCTCTCGGTGCAAACAACAAGAATGTAACAAACGTGTGTCTTTGATGAACAAAAGCTCTCACGGAAGAGAAGGAGAGAGGAACCTGGAGATATACAGTTATATTTAGCTTTGTGTACATTTTTTGCTGAATTTTGTGCATCTGCCGCTATGTTTTTGTTTTAACCTTTAACAATATGGGACATACTTTATTTGGATTGTATTTTTTTTTTCATATTTTTAGATTTAAATTGTTGCTTGGATTGAACTAAGCTGGAGTAAAGCTAAAGAAGGCTCAGTATTGTGGACAGATGAACGTTTTTGATGAATTATTATGAGGTATAACATGCCATCGTAGCACTCAATATGTGGCAAACATTCAAAGATTAACTCATGATTCCCACTTATTTAAATACGGGGAGACAGAATGAAGTTTGTGGATGGGAAAAGGTCCGAGGCACATAGCCCAGGTCTGAAATATATGATAAAATGATAAAATAATAATACTTAATGAATATAGAATAAAATATGAACATGATTTCAGCTCCATGATCAGGACACGACGCTCAAACCCTGTGCTCTTCCCAGAATTCCATCGGGGACGGGGACTGGTGCTAATTGGTGTAAATGAATCAGGAAGCAGCTAACGGGCCTCTTCCTGCTCTGATTGGGTTAGACTTCATTATGAGCTCATCATTCACCACAAGGAAGGAAGTGTGTTTGTGTCTGTGTTAGGAGCACACTTATAAAGAAGCACGTAACAACATCTCTAACTTTAGCGTAAAAAAGAAGCAAGAACAAAATCTCTTATTTAAAGGTATACTGCATGATAGAAGGATTTTCTACTTCTGGGTGGATCATCAAGACTATTGGTCCTCCCAGTTGTCAATCATTCGGGTGATATGTGCTAAGACCAGAGAGTTTTGGTCAAAAAGTGGAGAGGATGGTTCTTTCATAAATTTCGGAAATATCCTCCTATATACCTTTAAAGGAACAATATTTAAGATTTCTATGTCATCATTAAAGGGCCCTACTCTGTCAAAAGGCTTTAATAAATCATGCTCTTTTCAAATACTTCTTTAACTGATAACTCTAGTTCAGAGATATTTGGATTTCAAAATTACTTTTTCCAGCCTCTAAATCTTATTATTTTCATTTCGATGTCCCGCCCTCCAACGTTTCACCAATCAGAAAGTCCATGATCCGGGTTGCCAGAACTCACCGCGTCAAGCTGATCTCACTGGTAAAGTACCATGTGGCGCAGAACCAAAAAGGTCTCGTTATGATTCTCAAATCATTAACGACAAAATAAGGAATAAAACCAGGATTTCTATCTTTGTGAAAAAGGTGTTGGTCATAGATTTGTTGTTGACAAAACTATTGTCTTTTCAGATATTATGATCCCTGCTGGATTCGTCTGCATATCTGGCAACCTGAGTCAGAGAGAGTGAGAGAGGCTGCAGTACCACTTTTGGCCACATTTTTAAGTTCTGCTCCTTCATGCATAATTAAAGAAGCTAGACTAATACTGTCTTTTCCAGTACAATTCTATGTATAAGTAAATCTTCCTTAAATCTTGTGTTGGTAAAGTAACAGTGGACACATGTGGTTCTATATTGCACATTATTCACCATTATTATCGCACATATGAGTAAATTGAGAGTGGACACATGGTTTCAAAAGAATAGAGTGTGTTCGTACAGACCTGGTCCAAACCTGAGAAAGGCTCTTCGTGGTCTCTTTGAAGCGGCCCCGCACACACCTCAGAGCCGGGCTTTTCCTTGAACAGTTTCACATCGACTCTGACTGATGTGTTTTCCCACTGTGTCCTGAGAGTATGTCCTCCGCAGATCACAGATAGTCCTGATGGAGGCGCCGGCGAGAGGCGAGGGAGACCAAACTAAAGGGAAAGGCAAAAGCATGAAAAATGAACAGAGCGAGAACGCGATGGCGCTCGCAGATAAACAGGAGTTTGTCACAAATGTTTCTAAGAGACACACACACACAGGCATAGATACACACTCACACACACACACATACTAACAAGCATGTACACACACACACAGGCATAGATACACATTCACACACACACACATACTAACAAGCGTATACACACACACACAGGCATAGATACACACTCACACACACACACACATACTGACAAGCATGTACACACACACAGGCATAGATACACACTCACACACACACACACATACTAACAAGCATATACACACACACACACAGGCATAGATACACACTCACACACACACACATACTAACAAGCATGTACACACACACAGGCATAGATACACACTCACACACACACACATACTAACAAGCATATACACACACACACAGGCATAGATACACACTCACACACACACACATACTAACAAGCATGTACACACACACACAGGCATAGGTACACACTCACACACACACACATACTAACAAGCATGTACA